TAGGTAGGATTAGGGGTGGGGTTAGGGATCAGGGGAGGCGATAGGTAGGATTAGGGGTGGGGTTAGGGATCAGGGGGTGGAGATAGGTAGGATTAGGGTGGGTTTAGGGATCAGGGGCGGAGATAGGTGGGATTAGGGGTGGAGTTAGGGATCAGGGGTGGAAATAGGTAGGATTAGGGGTGGGGTTAGGGATCAGGGGAGGCGATAGGTAGGATTAGGGGTGGGGTTAGGGATCAGGGGTGGAGATAGGTAGGATAGGGGTGGGGTTAGGGATCAGGGGGAATAGATTGGTAGGTTTAGGTCTATGTAAGGTGGGAGGAGTTGGATCTGGATCCAACTCCTCCCCCTGGATTTCGTGTTCTGCAATGAGGACCATCTCCGACATTGTCTAAAACCCAGGAAGTCTCTAAAACCTGAAGCTAGAAAGCTAATGGCAGTCGCTCAGCTGCCAAATGACCACCTGGAAGTAGAATAGATAACCTTCCCTCAAACAAGTACCAGGCCTTATAAAGTTCAGAGGTCATTCTGACTGTGTAGACGTGCCTTTAGTGAAATGAATCTCTGGGGTAACTTACTGATTAGTTCTAGTGATTTATGGCACAGCACTGATAATTCACTTACCAAGAGAATCATGCTCTATTAAACCATCGCTGACCTTCACACCTTCAGAAATCTCACACACAGTTTTACACCGCAGGATCGCTGAACTAGAGGAAATTCTGTTGAAAAGGGCTATAAATGTTTCATTCAAGCCTCAGGTTTTATTATTTACGAAGAAGATGTCTATAGGAGCCATCTTCGCAGCTTTTTCATTAGCTGATCTTTATGGGAAAGGCTTGGCAGCTGGCCTGGGGTTGGACTGGACCTGGCCGATGCATTTTGTCAGCAGTTTGAACAGGTTACAGAGAGTCAAGGTTTATTGTCTCTGCTTTCTACACGGTAGATCTACAATAACATTGAGACAGATGAGAAAAACACTGTTTTTGTGTTCCTGTCAATGCCAATGTGATATAACACTAAAGTATATAGTGTCCATGGACATTTGTATGGACTTATTTTTTAATCTGAACATGAAATATGAAAGCACACTGATATATAGCATTGCCAAGGGTGACTAACACAATTCTCACTGACTCACTTACTGTATATCTTCCTGTGGATATAATGTTTGAATTTATTACATGGAGGATTTCTGAAGACTGGTGCTGAAACAGTCTGGTAATCTATGGATGGATCATTTGTCTATTATATACCCAACAGTATTCATTCCATCTGCTCTGCTAATAACCTATGGAATTAAATGGCTAATTAATTTGTGCTTTTAAGCAGTTTAAAGTTCTGAAACACATGTCTTTGGGGGGATCATAGTACATGAATAATAAAAATGGAGTGTTTTTAGTTAAGAATAATTATTTCACATATTGCAAATAGTTTATGTCTCCCATCCCTTCAGTTTTAAACAAAGAAAGCTGTTAAAAAACGATTAGCCTCTTTGTATCATGATTCCTGATGTTCCCACGTTCCTCTCATCGGTAACATCATCAGTCCACAGCACTTCAAATGGGGATCCAAACGGGAACTACACAGCAAGAAAATCAGCGCGTATTTATTGGGGGAATAATAAAGTAAATTTATATTGACTTTGTCTGACAATGGACACATTAAAAGACCATTATCTAAAGCGGAAGAAATCCATCCTCAACCCAGAGAGGGCTATGCTAATTAGCTTTGGGATTGCTGTGATCAGCAGAGAGCAACAGAGATGGTTTAAATCACAGGATTTTAGTAGAAGTTTAAAAATTTTTACATGTGAAAATAAAATATCTATGAAACAATCCAGCATCTGTCAGAATAACATAATACTCATTATACAACAGGGATAGTTCACCCAAAAATGAAAGTTCTGTCATCATTTCCTCACCCTGATGTTGTTGCAAACCTGCATGAGTTTATTTCTTCTGCTGAACACTAAAGATATTTTGAAGAATGATTGTAACAACATCGACTTCCATAGAAATATATATTTTTTTACTATGAAAGTCAATGGTGCCAAACAACTGCTTGGTTCCACCAAAACGACGCATGCGTGAGAACTGCGTTCTTCTTCGACTACTTCTTGTTCAGTTCTCGCGCATGCGTCGTGGAAATCTCTTGAAGTCTCGTCTCAGGCCTACAAGGAGTAGTCGAATAAAGTCGTTATTTTTGTTGTTTTTTCGCACAAAAAGTATTCTCGTCGCTCGATAAACTTATACTTGAGCCACTGTAGTCACATGGAATATTTTAACATTTTCTTCATTGACTTTCTGGGCCGTCAAGTTTCAATCCCGTAGGCATCCTATGTAGCAGTGATCCACCTCTCAAATTTAATCAAAATTATCTTCATTTGTGGTCCGAACACGAACGAAGGTCTTACAGGGTTGGTACAGCATGGGGGTGAGTAATTAATGACTTATTTTCATTTTTGGGTGAACTAACCCTTTAATTCACGTCCTCCAACCTGATTGGCCTTTGTAGAATGGCATCTCTTTGATGTGATTTGCTTGTCAAATTAAGAAACGAAGGTCTCGTTATAGTGGAATTTAAAATATGCATTATTTTACAGTTACTAAAAATTAAAATTAAAAGTTTAGGAAGAATTTCAAAAACCTAGCAAAATCAAACCAAACCGTTGGCCAACATTTCACTTAGTTAGAATAAAGCATGCAAAACAAATCATACATCAGTAGGCCCTACTGACAGATAAGCTTTTTTCAGATATAACATTTATTTAATACTCAACAAGAGACAAAGCAGGGGAGGCTTTTTACACCGTAGTGTCCTGCAGGTTTAACTTTCCCACTGAAGAGCATCATATATCAGTGAACAGGCATCAGATACTGTGAACGAGCCCAAACACAAAGCAGTGGGAAATCCCAGCATGCTCTCCTGCTCGTTCCCACAGCGCTGTTTATCTAAGGGCCCCCCGGAGACTCCTGGGATTAAATGCTATTCTTGTGCGTTCATTCTACTCTGCTAGACGTTCTTTCGAAACCTCGGAAAATAAGCTTTTTATTAATAAAAAATAGTATAATGGTGATTAAGGATAACTTTATATGAATTAAAAATAATGTCCAATTTTACACAGAGACACACTTTTGTTTCACTATATCAATGAGGAAATTGTATAGACTTCTATTAATTTTATATCAGGTTAATGATATTTTATATCACCTAAACACAACCCTCACAGAAACATGTGCAAAACACTAGATTTAAATCAAAATGTTTTTTTGCTGATTTATAAGCCTTTTAACTAGTGAGGACCAGGGAAATGTCCTCAATTGTCAGTTGATAATAATATTTCTCTTTAAAAATTAGGACATTAGGCCACACACAATGAAAATAACATGTTCATGCAATTATTAGTCCCATTATACTTTCTGTATATGCCACGATTCTAAACTTTATATTTAAAAGACCTTAATGTTTCAAGCAGTATTTGATTAGCTTTCTATAGGAATTTTGGATGGGCTTAAATCAAGGAAATGTAACATACCTTGAACAGCTGCTTATAAAGTACACAACATGGATACTGCGGCTGCCACCTTGAGCAGCCAAATCTGAGCCGTAACTGACACGTGACTGATCAATCATATTATAACTTCTTGCTGCAGTTAAGGAAACCCCCTCCAAATTAAGAGCCCTCCAAAAACTTTGACTGATATCATATATATACATTATAAAGGCTAGATGTCTCACGTTGGGGTCTCTTTCGTCATCACCGGCGGCCATCTTGTCACAGGCAAGCTTTCTGTCGGGCTCTACCTGATATAGAAAAGGTGAGCACGAACACACAACATCTTGACAATTTACAAACGGTTTTGATACACTTAACATTATCCATAGTGTGCAGTGTCATAACTACATCTCTGACGTTTATATCAAACCAAACCGTTCGAAAATCATTCGAAAATTGTTCAAGTTATTTAAGAAATACATGCACCATTAAAACACAATGTTACGAGTGAGTGAGGTGACTGTGGCAAGATGGCCGCCAGGTGCGGATGTCGACCTCCATTGGCCAGCAGCTCGGACGAGACATCTCTATTGTACTTCCAGGCATACTTAAAGGCTGAATCTGTACCCTACTGACACTCTTTTGTCTTATCTGTCAGAAATCAAGTTCACAGCCATGGAAATGGATCAACATCTTTTATTTACAATAAAACGAATGCAAAACTCTTTCTTGCATATATATTGCTCTTATATATAATTTTACTGCATATGCCACTGCTTACTCCATAGACAAAGAGTCTCGTTTGCGTGAATTTTCATAATAAAAGTCCTATTTAATGCATAGAAAAACGGGAGGACACAAACACACACACTTACACACCACACATGCACACACCACACATACCCAACATTAGTTACATTATTAGACTCCCATTAATAATAAATTTTGGCTGAGTTAAATTATATAGTACTAAATTATTATATTAACTTAAGGGGTATAAATGTAATTTAAGGCCCAAACATGATAAAGAGAAAGAGAAAGATAAACACCCTATTTCATTAACTGCAAACTACAGTAACAGTTCACTCAAGCAAACTCAAGGCAAAATATGTCACGAAGCAGTCCCGGTCCTGGCGCCCCCAACACTGCACATTTTGAGGATCTCCTTTGTCTGACACACTCATCTGAATCAGGTGTATTTGATAAGGGAGACAGTGCCAAGACCAGGGTTGAGAAGCACTGCTCTAACCATTCAAAATAAAATTACACATTGCATAAAGTTTCTCATTCCTTTTCACAATATCCTACTTCATTTTCTTTGAGTGGTTGTTGACAGAGATGTGAGATCTAAATAAATATATGTGCCACACAGCTGCAGAGAAAATACTGTAAAACGAAGTGAGTTCGTACTAGCGTAGATGAGAGGTAAACAGAGGCATTTGTTTGTCAGATGAGATCTACGCAGCGCTTTCTGAAGGTTGGCTGTCACCATTGCGGACTTTAAGGTTAGATCTTCCAGTTTGTGTAGTGTCTGTCTCTGGTCCTGTGTCGTCTTCGTCGTGTTGCACTGAGTGCGGTCTGTAGAACGGGGGGCTGGAGTGAAAAAAGACAAACAGGAAATAAGCAGAAGATAAAGAGAACGTTACAGCCACACACTCAGTTTGTGAGAGGTCAAATGTGCTCAATGCCATGCACAGATCGATAGCAGGTCAAAGGTCATGCCCCTGACTGCATGTGCAGTAGTGCCCAAAATATCACTCCGTTTGTAATAAGTTTAAACTCTTGCAAAATCTCTAAAACTTGGTGTACTTTAATTGTGGCTTGTTACGTTTTCCTGGAACATCTTTTGTTGGTTCTGGAAGTACCTAACACACCCCTAACCATTACCCTGAAATTAAATGGTTGATAAGGTTTTGCAAGCTCCAAAATTAATTTCTAAGTCTAACTTACCGCAAAGATGTGATTGATTGAATGTTGTTCCAGAACCAACAAGGAAAATGTCCTACTTGGTGAAATCAAGACAAGCATCCTTGTGTTAGTTAGTACTCTACTGTATGTGGGAACAATTTTAATCACTGTTCTAACCCCAAACCATGCTTAAGCTTCAATGACAGGGCATGCTTTTCCATCCAGCGGCACAAATCGAGATCATTACATTTAATTTCTTGACAGAGCTTATTAAAATTGTAACACTGTTTAGAGTAGAGCCCGACCGATATTAGGGAGTAAATAAAGCCCAATATATCGGCCGATATTATTTATGTGTATATTATAGGGCTGTCAAATGATTAATCACGATTAATCGTATCCAAAATAAAAGTTTTTGTTTACATGATATATGTGGGTGCACTGTGTATGATTATTTTATATATATAAATACACACACATGCTTGTATTTATTTGAGAAATATTTCCATGTATATAATTTATATTATAAAAATATAAATAATAATTTTTTCTTAAATATACATGCATGTGTGTGTATTTATATACATACAAAATAATTAAACACAGCGCACCCACATATATCATGTAAACAAAAACTTTTATTTTGGATGTGATTAATCGTGATTAATCATTTGACAGCCCTAGTATATTATAGTATTCATGTGTATATTATACAGTAGTACAGTGCCAGTCACTTTCCCATTTGTGTGTACTGTACAAACCTTTGACTGGTACTGTATATAGAATACAGTATACATAAACAGAACATATAGGCGCGGGCTGAATGATAGAACGAGAATCATATACATTTGAGCTGTAACCAAACTAGTTTGCATTAGATAATCTTCACTAATGACGTTAAATGGATACTCCACTTTTTTTGAGAAATAGGCTCATTTTACAACTCCCTCAGAGTTAAACAGTTGCCATTTTTGAATCCATTCAGCCGATTTTCTGATATTTAGAAGAATATCAGTCATAGACATATACACTAGACGTCAACTTGGGTTTCTAAGCGTGCATCAAAACCATCTTGGAACAGGGGTCATGTCATATAACGCTGCTATCTCTGCCTTTACTTCGAATTCATTGAAGGTGGCAGACTTTTGTGCAGCGTATGATGTTCACAGTAGTGTTGTCAAAAAATATAGATATTTCGATAAATATCGATACTGAAATATCTAAACGATACCAATACTAATTTCCTGAAGTATCGATTCTAGCCGAGCGGTCACTTTTCTCTTCAAAGGCGCGTTGACAAACACCACACGTGACGCACTCGTCTCATTCACGCGGGTTAAATAGCAAAAGTGAAGTTAATGTCGGAGAATAGCGCGGACACGCATTTAAAACACACCGTGAGCAGGCATCTTGGAGAATGGCGCGGACACGCGCTACACCAGCCCATTCTCACCCCCAAGGCGTCACCTAACTGACATTTGACCATGCTTCAATATCTGACGCTTTAGGCGCCCTTTAGCGTCAGTTAGATGACGCCGTAGGATCGCCTCATCGTCGCCTAAAAGGCCGCCTAAAACGTCAAATATTGAAGCATGGTCAAAGGTGACGCCTTGGGGTGAGAATGCGTTGGACACGCATTTAAAACACGCCGTGAGCAGGCATCTTGGAGAATGGCGCGGACACACGCTACACACCGCGAGCAGGCATCTCAGAGAATAGCGCGGACTCGCGCTGCACACCGCGAGCGAGCAAGTCGGAGAATAGCGCGGACACGCATTTAAAACACACCGCGAGCAGGTATGTCGCACCCTTAATATTGTGGCGTTTTTTTTCTCTATGGTGTCGAAAATGGTATTGAATATCGATATTTTTCAAAGTATCGTATCGAAGTTAGAAATTATAGTATCGTGACAACACTACTTCACAGATGAAATCTGAACTAGGAGGAATGTTTTTTTAAAAAAAAATGACAATCAATGATAAATACATGTCTGACTGTTGGAACAAACCAAAAAAAAAAAAAACGAGAAAAATCCCATTCATGATTTATGGAGATTTTATTTCCGTTAGACCTGTGTCTACAATGACGCTGATGCATTAAAGTGGAGGGGCTCCCCTGTTTCAAGATGGCGGCTTCGTTCCAATGACTGCCGTAGCCAAGGTGACGTCTAGTGTATATGTCTATGAATATCAGACAGTTTCTGGTCCCATTGACTTCCATATAGGGTCCAGAAACTGTCTGGTGACTGATATTCTTCTAAATATCATAAAATCAGCTGAATTGGTAAATGGCAGACCAATAAATCGGGTGGGCTCTAGTTTAGAGTTTAACACACTGCACAACACGTCATGCGTTAGGAGCTTCTTGAGAACATCAAATCTTTGACTGGCCCATCCAGAGTCACCTAATAATGATCCTTATTCACTGTCAGGCTTGTAGAGATACTTCATAACCAGGCTGTCCATCTTCTTCTTCTGTTTCTTCACTTCTTTTTTGCTGGAGGGCCGCTCTTCATCACTGTCCGGACAAGTTTTCTTACCCGGGGTTCTTTTAACGCTGTTCGAGCTGCGATACGAAACGGTCGATGCAGAGCCTGAAGACTCCGACTCTGATTCGGAAGATCCAGATTCTTTCTTCCTTGAGCTTCTGGAAGCTCTCTTTCCGGAACGCCGCCGAGTGCGATCCTCATTGGAGGAGCTGTCGGACTCGGAACGCCGGCTCTTCTTCTTGTTCTTTTTCCTGCCGCTCTTGGAGCTTAATGAACTCAACGAACGTCCAGAATCTACAGCAGAACCTCTCAAACTCGACCCTTCATCGTCCTTCCTTTGTTCTTCCTCTCCTGCACCACCGCCTTTCCCCTCTTCATCTGAGTCTTCTAAGCTACGACGTTTGAATTTGATTGGCTTGAAGCTCAGGACTTCATTAATAGCTTTTTCTAACTCGGGGTCCAGGTAGTTGCGGTGGCTCACAGGTTTAACATCCGAGGTGTCCAGCGGGTTCTCAGAGGAGCGTAGTTGGGCAGGAGTGGACAAACTACGGCCCGGTGAGCGTGGACTGTATGCGGCCACACTCACAGAGTCAATATCCTCATCCTCATCGACATCGTCATTATTCAAACGAAGTCCGAACTCACTAAGTCGAGTGCTGCGAGCCAGGGAGATCCGAGAGCCGACGCTGGTGCTCCCAGGACTGCGACTTCTAGATCGTATGGCGCTCGTTGACCCGTACTCGCTGCGGCTGTCATCCACCCAAGATGTACTACGTCTAAAACTGAAGCTGCTCACACCAGACCGAGCATCATCATCATCATCATCATCATCGTGGCGGGTGGAAGCTCGGCTTGGGGCCACTGAGGACACCATGGACTGCTTGTCAAATTCTGGACTGCTCTTGGTCCATCGACGGTCTAGGCCTTTCCTGGCCCTGCTGGCAGCCTCGGAGTAAGCCTGGGAGATCACTGAACCCCGGTCATCCAGGTCATCGCCAGTCTGAGGCCTGTCGACGGGTTTGCTTTTAGCTTTGCGTAACGACAATCGGTCAGGCACGTCCGGCTGCTCCCGAAGGGCGCTGAAGAGGGAACTCTCATCCTTCTGATGGGAGCGTTTCCTATAGCTGAGCGAGCTCATCACAGACACCGAACGGCTCTCGTCCGACTCTTTTCTTACTTCCTCCTTCCCCTCTTTTATATCTTTCACATCAGCATTAGCGGCATTGGGGTGTCTGAGACCAACAGAAAACACATTAAAAGCGGCAGAATTGCGGATGATCAATGAATGAAACAGGATGATATACCCGTGACAGAGATAAACATGAATTCAACGAATGAAAGGGGTATATTTGACACTAATCCCTTTAATTTGACTCCTTGGGTTAAACTCCTAATGGCAGTTACGTAACAGTTCACTAATAATGGAGCAGAACAGTTACAACAGCTCTTGGTGAGACAATCATGAATCCGAGATCATCGAATGCGGTCTTGAACTTATTAGCTCTTCCCACAGATGGAGAGGTCATATGGTAAACCACATCAGTAGCACCCCCAATGCTCTTATCCTGTAAAAAAGACTGTTCAATCTGTTCAGAAAACTTCGAGGCAGGGATTATTCTAGTCATAAAACGAACAAACATGATAACGTAACACTTTATTACAAAGTCACACATTGTGGTGTTACGTGCAACTAATCCTAAACCAAACCTTAAGATTTTATGCCGCTAGAGGGCGCTACATTCATGACATGACGACGCCGTGGAGGAACGCGGAATGATGGGAACTGTTGTTTTCAACTCCACCGTGGATAAATCAGTCAGACGGGAATCGAAAATTAGTTGTCATGGATGAGGTAAAGTTCGTATTCATCAAATCTAAACAAACTTGTCACTAGTTCCCCAACACCATTAAATGTAGTTTCATTTATCCAACTCTGAAGCCTCATAAAAGGATCTAAAGCCTTGAAATGAAACTAAAGGGGTTTGCATACTGACCTGGTGGTTTTCTGTGTGCCCTCATCCGTGAGCGTCTTAGTGGATCCTTTGCTTTTGGAGAGCAATGACTTCACCCCATCCACGCGGTCCTCCACCTCAGAGTCCATATCTGATTCATCTCCACTGATAACAAGAGAAGCTCTCAGTCAGACATAAAGGTCATTTCGGCCGGTCAAGATAAGGTTATGATACTTCAGTTAGTTGTTAGTGCCACAGCAAGTGGTTTCAAAGAAGAGGATTTCAGTTCAATCTCTATTTTTTTCAACGAAACGAGCGGTTTGTGTGAGAAAACGAACAGTATTTATATCGTTTTACCTCTTGTAACTACATACCGCCCCCTCAGATCTCTTGGACGTGGCTGTGGTTACAAGAGGTAAAACGATATAAATACTGTTCGTTTTCTCACACAAACCGCTCGTTTCGTGTCTTAGGCCATCAATGTGTACTTACATTTACGAGTCATTAAATCATGTTTAATTCGGACTTCTCTGTGCATGCTCTTTGAGGTGGTGACCATAGACCTCCATTATATGACTGACAGACAAGAACGGTTTGACCTAAAAATATCAAAACTGAAACTACTGCGGAAACAAAGACACCTATATCTCGGATGCCCTTGAGGTAAGATAAAACATACCAAAAATTAATTTCAAAGTGAACTATCCCTTTAAGAATATACACTAAATATGTTTAAAAATTGCACAAACTCACAATCAGGGACGTCATGAGTGCGTTGGATTTAGACTGCAGCTGTTTGTGGAGAATTTCAACTTACCGTCACGCACAATTTAAAGCTTAAGCACACACACAGCTCACATTCTGATGCTAATCGACTGTGACAATCTGCTTCTTTTGGTTGCATATTGCAGTTCCACCCAATTACAGCAAATCAACCGAATGCAGTGGATTCCCCCCTTCCCAAATCCATGCAGTTACACCAACACACATAAACACAGTCACGATGTGCTAAACACAGTTAAGTAGCAAGATGCACGAGGAATTCATAGAGCACCTGGGAAACTATGCTGAATCATAATTCGCTCAGGGAGTGGAAACTTCGAAATGCATTCATTTAGTTTCTTTATTTTTAAGTATCTATTGACAAATTACCAATTTCCCTGACTTTTTAATGCCATTTCCATGAATTGGATAAAAAAAATTCAATTTTCATAAAAAAAAAATTGAAATTCTAAATAAATGTAGAAATCCCAATTTTTTTAAATATATATTGATATTTCCATTGGTTTTCCATGACTCAGAGGGCTCCGATGAAAAGATGGCTGGTGTTATGAGTAAATAAATAATGAGTGTTAAACATGCTTATGAAGACAAGAAAATGCTGCTGTATTATCAAATGACTTATTGAACTATTGAATCCATTTCAGCTAAAAAATAATATATGTAAGACTTCATATAGTTTGTTGTACCCTTGATTAATACAATGACATTTTCCACATGCTTTTACAATGAATATAATTACAAACTCAAACCAACGACAGATGAGAAACATAGACCGTTTAGCATCCTCACGTTTTGTTCTTTCTCTTTTGATACTTTGTCACCATGTCTTGTAAACTTCCACAAAAAAGGGGGGGAAAAGAGGAAAATAATGTTGATCCATTAAAATAAAATTGGAGACAGAAAACCAAAGAAGAACTGAAAAAGGTAGTGGTCATCCTGATCAACTTCAGAGAAATGTTGCCATGGGAACATGTCAAGAGACTAATCTTCATACCTGTTGATGAGGTCGTCATCATCATCCGTCTCCATTTCATCTTCCATAGCGGCCTGCAGGTCCCCAATCCGCTTAAAGGCCAACTTCAGATCTGCTTGTAAGCTCTGATTGGCTGCTTCCAGACTTTCAATATCCAATTCCTGTTAAAGGTCCAACCAATCAGAGTTATGAAAAATGACCACGGCCTTTGGCCTTACAACAAATGTCACAGCTCAAGGAGTAGTTCACTTTTAAAAACATTTTTGCTGATAATTTACTCGCCCCCATGTCATCCAAGATGTCCATGTCTTTCTTTCTTCAGTCGAAAAGAAATTAAGGTTTTTGATGGAAACATTCCAGGATTTTTCTCCATATAATGGACTTCTGTGTGACTCTCCTGTTCGAACTCATTCATCAAAATGAACAAATCTTTTCCCGAGTCAATTCGTTCATTTCGTTCGCTGAATGAACCAAATGACACGAAAAAAGATTCGTTCATTTTGATAAACAAGTTCAAATAGGAGAGTCACACTCACGAACGGCATTTGTGCTTATAAAACTTAAACTTATTCATTTATTAAAAAAGCGATCGTTTCGATTGATAAGACCCTTATTCATCGTCTGGAATCGTTTAAAGCCCTTCGAACAGTTTGCAGTTTGCACTGAAACTCTCTTTTAGATCTTGAACCGTTTGGTCCCCATTAAAGTCCATTATATGAAGAAAAATCCTGGAATGTTTTCATTAAAAACCTTCATTTCTTTTCGACTGAAGAAAGAAAGACGTGGACATCTTGGATTATATGGGGGTGAATAAATTATCAGCAAAAGTTTTTTTTAAAGTGAACTACTCCTTTAAGCCATGGTTACTATACAGTAGCATTATGTGGCCGTTTCTCTTGATAATAGTTGCTATAGTGATACTAAGGCAATCTCCATCCAGCTCTGGAACTCACCAGCTCATGTTTTTTGCGGCTGGCTTCGGTTTCTTTCTTAGACAGTTCAGTCATCTCCTCCTTTATGTCGCGGATCTGCCGCTGCATGCGCTTGTTCTGATCCTTCTCCCGGTTTTCGCTGGTAACACGCTGGTCTCGTTCCTCGGTCATCTTCTCAAGGTTCTCCTTCAGCCGCGTCACAAGAGACTGGAGGTCGAACATGGACGATAAGAGCTCATTAGACGTTGTTTTAGCTCCCAATTCACTAAGAAAATGAATGAACTAAAACTAAAGGAAACTGACTAGACCCTACAGTCCTGGTTCAGTGTCTTGCTATGAGTCGACTCACCTCCAGACGTTTAGTCTGGGTCCTCTCATATTCTAGTTTGGTCTCCAGTTCACGGATTTTGGCTTCCTGGCGGCTGACCAGAGATTTCTCCACCATCGACTGTTCCTGAAACTCAAGCTGTGACTGCAGGGACTGAAGCTGCCGAGGAGAATAAACACACACACATTCAAGACCACAAGCGACAGACCCACCGCAGTCCTCTAATCAATCAATATCCACCGTATACTGAAAGAAATGGTAAATGAGGGGATCGGGGTCGACTGTGCTGAGAGCGTCTGCTTTTTTAGCGTATTTGAGGATTTCTTTGGTACCTTATCCTGGATCTCTTGTTTGTCCTTCATGGCCTCCTCCACCTGGGTTTGCAGGTCACTGATTTGTGCCAAATCTCTTGTAGTCTAAACACACACACACACATATGTAACTATAAGAGTTAACTTTAATTTTTTATCTGTGCTATAGTATGTTTTTAATGGCTGATATAATATATATCTGATATATATATATCTGTCTGTCGCGTTCTCCAAGGTTGCATTTATTTGATCAAAAATACTGTAAAAAACGTGATATTGTGAAATATTAATACAATTTAAAGTAACTGTTTTCTATATTTGAATATTGTCATTTATTCCTGTGAATTTTCAGCATCATTACTCCATTTAGTCTTTGGTGTTTCTTGAGGATCAAATCAGAGTATGAGAGATGCTGATTTGATGTGGATTTTTGTGGAAACCGTGATGTACATTTTTTCGGGATTCTTTGATGACAGAAAGTTGATTTGACACTTGATCTCACAAATATTTTACTGTCATGTTAGATCAATTTAATGCAACCTTGCTGAATAAAAGATATATATATATATATTAGGGGTGTAACGATACCCTCATGACACGATTCGATACTGAACTCACGATACGATAATATTGCGATACTCCAAGATTTATGATAAAAGGTTAACAAAAAATGTGCTGTTGATTAAAATGCTAAATTTGATATTACATTGTAGGTTTAAATGAATTGGTGCTTGTAACCCAAGGACAATGGTGACACCATAATAACAATATTTATGATTCTGAAGCTGAAATACTGAATTATTTAAGATGAATGTGCTTGCACGCTTTCACTGACTAGATATATTAAAAATTCACTGACTAGATATATTTAAAAGACATTTGTCATTATCAGGAATATTCCCACAAATGTTCCCCCATTGCATTATTATAAAACTGCTGGGTTGTTTTAGCCCAACTTTGGGTCAAATATGGATAAACTACATTTTTAATTACATTTTTTAACCCAATGTTTGGGTTTGTCCATATTTGATCCAAAATTGGGTTAAAACAACCCAGCATTTTTAGAGTGTGCATTATAATCAACATTATATGTAGTAGTTTATTGTAGTTCTGACACTAAAACTCTGAAAACTTGAATTTTTTTCCTCACACACTAATTTTTATTTTGGGGGGGACTATACACGATACATATTTTTGTATTTTTGTATTGCGATATATTGTGACATGATATATTGTTACAACCCTAATATATATATATATATGAGGTCACCTGAGCCACTGCGGCTTTGTGCTTCTTCATGAGTTCGTTCATGTCCTCCTGATCCTCCTCAAAGCGAGACTGCAGGTCATTCTTCTCTCTCTGCAAACGACTTATCTGCTCCTCCAACTGAGTTAGACAGAACAGACAGGGTTGGATGAGTACCTTAAATAGTTTATTCACAGCTTTTCAAGGATGAGGAAACACATCCTCTCTCCATGTTGACAGCTTCTACCATGTGACAGATAAATACTGCACCGGAATACAGTTTGACTGGATGCACAGCGTTTGACATCAACAAACAAATTACGTCTTTTTTTCATTCCTTTTAAAAGTTACAAAACGTATTTATGTAGCATTTTATTGTTTGTTTTCCCTGCTCTCTGTGACCCTTTTAGAGGAGAATGATCTTTTTGACCAAAAAAACCCCCATTCCTTTTAATAACAGAAGAACACTTCTCGAAATAAAATCACACAGCACTGCAACGCTTTAACAACTACTGTATGCTTCTGCCATTTTAGAGTAAGACTAAAACACTGTCATTACACGCAGTAATTGCATATTTCTGGTTAAGCCAGAGACGAGGAGATTATACCCTTAAACTCTCCTATTTGACATCAACTCTTCTTCATAAGAAATAAATCAACCAACCGCAAGCGAGCCATTTCATTCTGACAGAGTAACATGTTTTTGTGTTCTTGAAAGAGCTTGAGAGTGATGAGAGAGAAAGAGTAATCAGAGAAGAGTAAAGCTGCACTGATTTTCACTTTCTGTCCTCAGCGAGGTGAAATGTGAAGTGACAAAATCACAGCCAATCAGAACATATTTGATGTTTAAAAAAAATCCATGTGGAGCTTTTGGGTTTTGGATCGATGAGATTTTACAGTGGGCGGGGCCAGAGAGCGAGACTGTAAAATGTGCAAAGACTCAGATTAACATGGAGGAGACGGGATTTAACGCTTTATCATGCGGACACCATGAGTTTTAAAGCTTAAACTCGAAATGTTGTTTCCATCAGAATTTGACGATTTAAAGTCATGTAGTGTGAACGACACTGTAAGAAATATTGTTGGTTTAACTTAAAAAAGTAAGTAACTTGGTTGCCTTAAAATTTTAAGTTGATTGAACTGGAAAAAGTGAGTTGATACAATGAAGGAGATTAATTTAATCATCAGAAACTCAAAATAATAAGTTATCTCAACTAAATAAATTATTTAAGTTGATTTGACAAAAGAAAAAAATGTTGTGATAACAAATCTTGAAAATATATTTTTTACAGTGTAGGCTTAAATGACAATCCCAAAATCAAACAATCATTCTTTACTGTGTGATTAAACAAACATACGATTAAATGCTGAAATCTTGTCTTGTTTATGAGCAAGGAACTGTTTCCAAGTCAAACAGAATTCAACTCACAGACATCTTGGCTTTGGAGATGTCATCCATCTGGATATGAAGGTCTTCAATTTCCAGCTCCATGGACTTGCGCGCTTTAACTGCGGCTGCGCAGGCAAACTCGGACTCCTCCAACTAAACCAGACACAACAGAAACACTCATTCGCTCACATTAAGAAATTAGTACTGTTAGAGCATGACCGATACAGGATTTTGAAGGCCGATACCGATACAAATATTTTTGGGTTTTAAAATCCGATATATCGGCCGATATTTTATTATTATTATTATTATTTTAAACTGGACATGATTAGTCACAAATTTTGTCATGCTCATTTGAGTTAAGAGAACTGATGGGGATGATCTTTTAATTGTTATTCATCGTGACCAACTCAACGAGTGTTGCCAACAGGAACGGTGTAGAGCGCCCTCTGGTGGACGAACCATACAACTCCAACACTCATGACATGGTTCAAGCGTGTTTCGTCCGTTTTTATTTTATTTTTCAAATATTCATTTATCGGCCATTATAACTGCCAAAACCGATAGTTTGGAAAATGCCTAATATATATATATATATATAGATATATATGCTTTAATGAGGACAGAGTTTGGAAAAACTGCTTTTATTTATAGCGCATCAGCTGCTTGGAATGAGATCCAAAGTTCACTGAAACTTGATGCACTTATTTCAATAAATGAGTTCAAGTTACATTTAAACAAATTACTCAAATCTGTCTGGACTTGCTCTTAACGTTTAATCTTGTTTTATGTTTGCATATGTGTGTGTTGTGTAATCAGTTTTATGTAGTTATGTATTGTGTGCTGCTATTTTGGCCAGGGCTCACTTGTAAATGAGATATTTATCTCAATGTGACTATTTCCCTAGTTAAATAAAGGTTTAATAAAAAATAATAAAAAAAATATCGGCCTGCCGATATATCGGTCTGGCTCTAGTCCTAGTTGATCAATCAATTCAGTGACGGACATAAATTGTGATTGTACCTTATTTTTGAGTGCGGCGATCTCTCTCTTACTAGGCACGTTAGTCTTCAGGTGGTCCAGCATAATCTGAGCATCGGCTAGGAGAACCTTTGTGCGCTTCAGGTCCTTCCTGAGACGTTTCTCTGTCTCTACATCCTTCTGGCCAACCTGTTATATGGTGCAATACTGTGTTATGCTTTGTTGAGTGTATTGTATGCAGTATTTGTGTTGTGTTAGCACCTGTTCCTGTGCAGTCATCAGTTTGGATTCCAAGTCTCTCTTTTCTCTCAGAACTCTCTGTTTATCGTCATATTCCTCCTCTAACTGCACTTCCATCTGCTTCAGCTGCACACACACATTGCAAAAGAGCCATTAGGAAACATGGAGGTCTGAAATTGTGAGGGCTATGTTTCGTGTGTTCACCTTCTTACTGCAGGACAGTCTGATCTCCTCCACCTCCTCATCTTTACTGTCAAGCTCTTTAGAGTGTGTTTGTTTCAATCTTTCCATCTCCATTTCCAAACGAAGTTTAGCCTAAATCACACACACACACAGATTACGTGAGGTTAACTTGATATTATCCTCTGCAAAGCTGCTTCGAAGTGCAATTTTCCAAGCTGGAAGTCGTGTTTAAGACGTATGGTTGGACGTATTATTAATAGTTTACTTTATTTTATCTTTATTTCAATTGACGAAAATTTTTAGCTTGTACCTGCTCCAGCATCTGAATGGTTCCAGCCTGTTCATCAAGCTCCTCCTCTTGATCTTTGACCTTTGCTTCAAGGTCACGCAGTTGCTTCTTAACCTTTGCAAGTGAGGCCTCCTCTTTGGACTCCTGAGAGGAGAGATCCTGGAGCTCGGATTCCAGCTGCTCGACCTTCACGCTGACCGTACACAGCTCTGTGTCCTTCTCCTATGTTTTAAAATTATACACATTAGCTGATGCTTTTATCCAAAGTATTACAGAAATCTGAAGTTAAAGGGATAGTTCACTTTGAAATTAATTTTTGGTATGTTTTATCTTACCTCAAGGGCATCCAAGATGTAGGCGTCTTTGTTTCCGCAGTAGTTTCAATTTTGATATTTTTAGGTCAAACCGTTCATGTCTGTTAGTCATATAATGGAGGTCTATGGTCACCACCTCAAAGAGCATGCACAGAGATGTCCAAATTAAACATGATTTAATGACTCGTAAATGTAAGTACACATTAATGGCCTAAGACACGACACGAGCGGTTTGTGTGAGAAAACGAACAGTATTTATATCGTTTTTACCTCTTGTAACCACAGCCACGTCCAAGAGATCTGAGGATGCGGGCGCTTCAGTCTGCGCAAACGCCGGAAAGCGCCGGGAAGACGCTATAAACACTGTTCGTTTTCTCACACAAACCGCTCGTTTCGTGTCTTAGGCCATCAATGTGTACTTACATTTACGAGTCATTAAATCATGTTTAATTTGGACTTCTCTGTGCATGCTCTTTGAGGTGGTGACCATAGACCTCCATTATATGACTGACAGACAAGAACGGTTTGACCTAAAATATCGAAATTGAAACTACCGTGGAAACAAAGACACCTACATCTTGGATGCCCTTGAGGTAAGATAAAACATACCAAAAATTAATTTCAAAGTGAACTATCCCTTTAAGGACACGAGAGACCTCACCTCTAGCTGTTGTCTGATTGTGAACATCTCGGCCGCCAGCATATCTCTGTCTCGGGCCAGTTTCTCCCGCTGGTTCCTCTCCTTCTGTAGTTCTTCTTGAGCCTGGTTCTTCTCCACATCAAACCTGCCAGAAAATTCAGAAGATAAACAAGCATTGAGCAAAGTAATTTCAACCACAGTATGATGGGAAAAAAACATAATAGTCTGCTCATATCTCCAATGGGCGTAAACTATCAAAGAGATTCAGCCAGGAGGAACCAGAGCAAACATTTGCTCTTCTGCTCTTTGCTGCTAAATCTTGTGGATTTTTAGATTTGAGTAATCTGATCTTCTTTTTCCATCTCCAATTCTACAAATTCTGAGCAAAATCAGGTCTATGCACTCATAAAATGTCATACATGTTAATGTTTAGTTAAGCTAAGCTTTAGTTACAGTATGTCAATGTCATCTTTATTTGTATAGCACTATTAAAACAACACAAGTTGACCAATGTGCTTTACATTCTCGCTATAAAATAGAAATAGAAACATACAACAATAGTAATAGAATAAAAATAAATAGAAATAGAATAAAAATAAAAACACTGATGTTGCTCATAAATTAGTTATGAGCAACATCAGCCAAGTACTAAGCAAATAGCTTAAACAACTACAACAAACAAACGACAGGGATCAGATAACAAAAAACAACAGCTTTAAACAAAGCAACAAACAAAAGAGTGATTAAACAAACTGCTTAAACAATTAAATAACAAACAAAAGACATTAAGCCAACCGCAAATGATGAGCTTTAACTAAACAACAAACAAAAGACAGAAATCAGACAGTAAATTAAATACTTTAACTGAACAAAAAAAGCTTAAACAAACAAAAGTTATTAAGGCAGTAAAAAACTGCTTAAACAATCAATTGTTTAACATAAATAGCTTACTGTGTGATTAAAAAAACTGATTAAACGATAAGCAAACAAGCCAAGTTATCAGAAAGTAAATGAACCGTTGAATCAAACAAACAACTTTTCAAATTATACACAAACAGTCCAGTCGTTTAGTCGACTAATCGGTCGATGCCGTCTTGGTCGACTGACATTCTCATTGGTCGACCAGTTACATTTTGTTTTACCAATAGAAAGAATTTTTTTAATGGTTTACTCTTTGATATTTATTCCTTTATAAGTAAATATAAATATAATTAGCCTATGTTTTATCCCCATCTTTAAATGCTTTAATTTAGGCTATTTTGTAAGCCTTATGTAAGCCAGATATTTTTTTGTAGCATGTGGTGCGCGATTGATTGCTCCTCACGTTTTTCAGTTAAAAAAAAAATCACTTAATTCTCAAAGAATTGTATTATTATTGTAGTTTTATTTATTTGTGATGTTTTTTCGTTGTTGTTTTATAAATGCTCTATGACAATTGTTTAAAAAATGTTCAATCAAAACAAGGTTGTTGTTTTTTTGTTTTTAGTCGACTAATCGTTGCGCAGGACAAGACTTTGGTCGGCCAAGGATTTCTTTGGTTGACTCCAGCCCTACAGTCCACACAATCAAACAGTAAACAATGTCCGAAACAACCAATCAAACAGAAACCTCTCTAATCAAACCTCAGCAGGCGATGTGTGTGTGAGTGTGTGTGAGTGTATGTGAGTGCTCCTGGTAAACCATACATTATACACGTATTTTTGTGAGGGTTGTGTTTAGGAGTAGGTTCAGGGTATAGAAAATTGTTTGCTGATTGATTTATTGTGTGTGTGTGTGTGTGTGTGTGTGTGTGATTGGCTCTTACTTCCTCTGTTTTCTCTCCAGCTCATGGTTGCGCCCCTCTTGATTTTCCAGGTGCAGTTTGGTGTCTTGCAGTTCGGCTGCCAGCCGCTGGCACTTCTTCTTCAGCTGCTGGACAGATCGCTGCGACTCCTCCTGGTCAGCCTGCAACTCCGCAAACTACACACACACAGAGAGAGAGACAGGAAAGTGAAGTTTAGAAAAGTCTAAAGATACTGAGGTGATACTGGTTTCCATTGTCAGAGTTATTTATTGTGGCAGATTTTCACTGGTGGAATGTAACGAAGTACAAATACTTCGTTACTTTACTTAAGTACATTTTTCAGGTATCTTTACTTTACTTAAGTAGAATAAATAGTGCATACTTTTTACTTTTACTTCGTAACATTTTGCAGCAATTATTCTACTTTCTACTCCACTACATTTCTACAACTTCTGTTACTTTTTCATTACATTTTCTGATCAGTTTTCCCCTGCCAAAACGTAATCTGACCGTCCGTCCGTTGCACGTTTGTCTCACCAGTGACGTTTGGTTGCCATAGATACATCAACTAAATGCGTCTCGCACGCAGTGTGTTTATCGTGCAATTTATACGCGAAAATTTGTTTTTATGTGCATAGGAAACATGCCGTGTGTAATATACGTTTGGTTAGGATTATGGCAAGCCAAGAGGTTCAGAATTACACCATAAAGTAATCGCGTTTACTGCCATAGTTATTAACATATAGTAAGGATAAGGATGATGTGTATATTGCCTAATTGCAAGCTTGTTTCAGAATTGGTGACAACATTTTTTTCCATCATTATTGAACATCATTATAGGAGTATTAGGTTGAATGAGTTAGAATTAAATGTTTTATTAATCATTAGAAAATAGACATTAAGAAAATAAATTATGCAAGTACTTTTACTTTTAATACTTAAAGTACTTTTTACTTAAGTATGGTTGTTATGTGTGTTACTTCTACTTTTACTAAAGTAAATATTTATCTGGTTATTTGTACTTTTACTAAGTACTGAGATTCAGTACTTCCTCCACCACTGCAGATTTTGAATTCAGAGACTGTGTATAGTGTGTGTATAATAACTTTTCTCTCCAGGTGTCTCTTGTTCTGTTGTTCTGTCTCCATCTTGTCATCCATCTCCTGGTGGAGTTTTTTCTTTGTGAAATCCATATCCCTGATGGCACGTTCATATTTTAACCTCCATTCACCTCCTGACGTGAACAAACACAGAGACAGAGTTTTGTTAAGCTGGGCTGTTGTGTGTGTGTGTTGTTCTTATTATAATGAAACATATTGGTAGTCAGCTTCTGGTCATGTAGCTTGTTGTTTTGTTTTTTACCAGAATCATCATCGCCATCGTTGTCCATCTCGCCGTTGAGTTCTGATGCGCGGAGGAGTCTGGCCTCCATGATCTCCATCTCCATGGACTCCATCTGTTTCTTCACAGAGTCAAACTTCACCTGAGTTTCAGAAAAGGACAACAAACAGGTGTGATACACAGCAGCCCACTCACAAAATACACTCCCACCACAACCTCCTCAGATTATATCAGAGCGTTTTACCACAACTCCCAGTCAATCCATGACACAAACTACTCAAACAGTAAAGCTACACTTAGATGCCATATTGTTTGTATATGTATAATATTACCTTTAATGCAGTGTGTAATATAGCTGTTTGTGAATGTGAAATCTCAATTTCTTCCTCACTTCCTTTTACATATCTAATATTGTACACATTTGCATAATGCCAGCCTATGGTCCTCATTGGCTGTCCACGAACAACATCTACTTTTACCCGCCCTCAAACACTATAGTTGTAGCTGAGGTCTGGAAGAGTTTGGTTCGTGTTGTCGATGTTGTTTTCAGTGCTGTAATTCCGCTTTGCACTTTCAAAGCACTTCCGTTTCATTGTGTTTACAAGCACTGAGGAAAATCCGATATATCAATGGGTGTTTCATTTCCGACACACGCTGTAAACTAGACCAGTCACAACAGTCTGGGCCATCTGACCAATCAGAGCAGAGTAGACTTGTGGAAAGGAGGGGGTTTATCTCTTCAAACAAACCGTTTACCGTTTTTTGTCCAATGTAGGTTATGAGAAAATTAACGTTTTTTTTTTTTTCTTTAACACATGTAAATCTATTGTAGAACACCTCCAAAACAAAATTAGAAAACTTAACTTTAATAGGGGCACTTGAAATATTTTTAGTTGGTTGTACTGTATAATGTTTTGGGGGTTAAATTTAAAACTTAACAATTTCTATGATTTAAATCCAAATTAATTTTGGTCTGAATAAACCAGCAAACTAAAATGAATCGTTTCCAACACTTCATGTAAGAGACATTTTAGATGAATGTGTTTAATTATCTACTCAGTATGCTTGGAAGTAAAACTGCACATGCAATATAATATGACAAAATATAGTGATTTTTTTTTTTTTGTAAACTATACCACTGGAAAAATCTCATTATTTTACTATTTTAATGAATTTACAGTCATGTCTCCATATTTTTTTTATCCGTCTCTGAAAGTAAATGCACCCAATTTTTGAATATGATTATCTTGATGGGTAAAATTTTTATTTTTAAAGTTAAAACTGTATCAAATTTATGTATTAAAAAAACTTTAAGAACAGAGTTTATCATCAGTATATACTAGAAACAATTATAGCAACACAGAATAAAAGAGCATGAAGAGAAATTTATCAGTTTTTATTTATTTATTTTATTTTTTATTTTATTTTGTTTTGTGCTTCTTTTTTATTTTTAGTTAGCCTTTCTGTCACAACAACACTATAAATGTGGGGATGATTGTGGTTGTGATTGCGGTATGAATGCATGGGGTAGTAGGGGGGGTTTGAAGTGGTATATGTCCTCCTGAAGCATGGAGAACACGTACCTGCATATCCTTCATGTCCTTCTCCAGACGCAATCTCTCGCTTGTCTCCGTCTCCAGCAGCTGGGATGTAGACTCCGCAGAATTCCTCTCATCTGAAAGCTCTGCCGTCAGCTCCGTAATCTACAGAAACACACACATATGCATTGGTTTTTCCAATATGGTGGAGGCTTTCCATTGACTTTAACTCATATACAGTGATGTGAATAAGTTTGGACACCCATGCTAAAGTTGCCTAAAAAGAAGAATAAAAAATCATCTTTTGGATATTGATCTTAAAGGGTCATGAAACCCCCTCTTTCAGCTCAAGTCTAGCTCAAAATCTTTTTGAAAAATGCAACTTAAATGGGCGTGGCTGCCCATCACGTCAATGTCCCATGAATATCGACTGTCACTAAAACGCAATGGTAAAACGTGAGGAAATGCTAGATTTTTATATATAGCTGGCAAAGTTAAAGTCTTATGAAATACACTGACACTTCATTATTGTCCTTTCAAAAGTAACTGAATGTCTTGCTACATATATTAGCCTACAGTAATCGTAATTCTATTTAAAACATATTAATGTAGGCTACATGTATATTTATAATGTCATTATAAAATATATAGTGGTTTATATAGACACTATAAATACATTTCAGAATTTTAAAAAAAATGATTTATTAGACTTATTTAATATTTAACAATATTATTGATCTGTGTTAAGCTGCTTTGATACAATCTGTATTGTGAAAAGCGCTTTATAAATAAATGTGACTTGACTTGAACTTTATCAGGATGCATATTATCCTGGATCCATGAAATAACTGGCTTTTAAAAATAAAAATCTGCCTGACTCTATGGGAATTTAACATAGGGGTGTCCTGACTCCCCATATGCACCCTGTATTTTAAGGAAAAACATTTATTTATTTATGATACATTATTCATTCACAAAGAAAATTGGTGTCCTTAAAGGTTGGAGTTTTCCTCATTTTTCTAATTAAGGCATTAAGATCAATATCCAAAAGATGATTTTTTATTCCTCTTTTTAGGCAACTTTAGCATGGGTGTCCAAACTTATTCACATCACTGTATTATAAACTAGTCACAGAAATCCTCCTGCATTTTTACATATTCATTAAGACATCACTCACTACATTTATTGTCCATCAAAATGGGACAGTAAAATGAAGTCAAATATGATGCTTGCATGTCTTACTCTGCTCTCCATTCGATCCGAGGTCAGCCGAAGCTCGTTCCTTTCCTTTTCCACCTTCTCCAGCTTCAACTTCAGATGCATGATCTCCTCCTACGAGTCATAAAGCACAAAACAATACTGAATATTTAGATAAGTTGGGCTAATATTGTTTGATCTGATGTGTTTTTGATCAGGCAAGATCTATCTGCCTTTAGGTGAGTTCAGGAAGGGGTCAGACAGCAGTGTTGCAAATGCTTTGAGCTCAGATTGAGATGACGGCTTCGGGAATCAAAGAGATTTCTCAGCTCTAACGCTGACGCAACAAAAGCTCTCAGACCATGTCATCTTTAAGGCAGATGCACCCACACACACACACAGATAAACATTTGCAAAAGTGAGAAAATAAAGAGTTATATGGCTCACGTCTTTTCCTCGAATCTGTTCTTCGGTGAGCTGAACCTCCACTAGAGGCCGTACGGTGGTGAAGAGCTTCCACCAAGGCCAGTCCTTCACGCCATGGTTCTTCTTAATGTTCTTCTGGACGCAGCGGATGGCCAAATCCTGGATCTGAGAGATGGAGAGGGGCTTTTATTTATCTAAAGGGACACGTCACACTAAAACTTCAATTCTGTCCCGAATGTGGTTTATTTTATAGCACAAATAATCAAATCTTTTGTGCTGTTTTTTGCTGGCTCATTTACTGACGTGAGTGTGAGTGAGTGTGAAAGACGTATGAATGAGTAAAATGAGTAAAAAAAGACGTGTGATGACAAAATATTGAACTGAACTCTGCAATATGTGTGTTCAGAACAAACAGGCTGATGATGCAGATCTCCATCTGTGAATGACATGACAGTCGCATTAACAGCGTGGCATGACATGATTAATGTTCCTTCCTTTGCAAACACAAACATAAAAGCCACAGAATGACTTTGATATGTCATTTTTGAAAAAGTACTGAAAGACCTGCCAATCAAAACTGTAAATGTGGAATGAATAAAATGCACTTCATGAAGAATTGAGAGGATATTGTTATGTCATGATCTCAAAGAAGATACTTTTGAATGACAGTCCACTTTGCGAATACAGGCAGGAGCCATCTTTGGAAAACAGTCTCGAGCAGTCGAACCACAAACGCCGAGCCAAGTGCGCTGGTGAGATGTGAACGAGCCAGAACTTAGATCTTATTAAACGGTCTCAACATTCTCAATGCTTCCTTTAAATTCAGTCTAATCAGTCCAATTCAGTTTTTTTTTATTGTGTGTATTTTATGATATTGATTGTTTTTGTTGTAAAGCACTTTGTGGCCCTATACCTGTGAAAGGTGCTATATAAATAAACTTTTACTTACTTTACTTACTTAATCAACTCTGTTCTAAGTAATGGCTGCTGAAAATTCAGCTTTGCCACCACAGGAGTAAATACAATTTAAATATATTAGAAAAGAAAACAACTGTTATTTTTGAAAAACGTAATAATATTTCATAATATTACTAGCCTTGACAACTTCCGGCAAATTTAGATATTTAGATTTTTGGATTTAGATCTGGCAAAAAGCTCATTCAAGCCCATTTCCAATCCGTCGAAATCGAGGCACCAATCAGAAACGTTTGGGATTGGGATTTTGAAGCAGATTTTGTAGCCTACATTACAAAGATGGATGCCGGCGTTTAACATCACTCGTTCGAATCAGCTATCGCGTCTGTTTTATGCGATTTGAACATTTCCTTTTTGTTAAAAACCGAGCAAAGAACAACTCTGCATACGTCATCTCCTTCATCGCTCTGATTGGTTTTTGGTCTTTCCCCGACATCCGCTGGTGAAGCCCCTCTGGAAATGATTTGTCTATGACGCTTGCCTTTGACTCAGTTATAACTGAGAACCGTCTGGTTTTAACCAGGCTACAATATTACTGTTTTCACTGAATTTTTGATCAAATGAACACAGCCTTGGAGAGTATAAGAGATTTCTTGTTTGAAAAGATTTAAAACCAAACCTTTGAAAATAACTGTTGAGATTCTGTTTGATTGACATTGCAATTCCAGCAGAGGACTGAAGCAAAACAGAAAATTGACTTTACCTTCCTCTTTTTGAAGGCCTGTCGAGACAAAAAGCCCCTGCAGGCGGCCTGGAACAGCGTGATGTTCTGTCTGGTGTGTTCATCCCTCTGTCCCTCTAGTTTAGCCACTGTTCCAGCCCTGAAGAACACCTAACACACACACACAACAACAACATAATTGTGACAAAAGTGGTCCTAAAATTTCATAGTAGGAAAAGAGATGTGAATAAACTCATATGGAGATGATGCCGCTTTCATCTGTAATCTTCAATCATTTTAATTTGAAAAAAATATATGCATATTTCTTTAACGGCAAGAGAGAGTATACGTTTCAGTATCAGTTTTCTTTTACTTATTCAAATGAAAAATCTTTATTTTATCTAGCGTCGACATCTGACCACAACGATCCGAACAAACCACGTAAATCAATGTCCATTTATCGCAAGAGCACAAGTCGAGCAGAACTGAGTTGTAAATCAGGTTGTTTTGTTGCCCGAACGCTTCATGTCGGGCCGCTGACATTGTAATCTATTTCTGAGCGCAGTTCAGCCTTCGTAAACCTTGCAGCTGCCAAAAAATAATGACAAACTATTCCAACTTATAATGCGGTCCAATAAATCTCCATTCTTCTGGGAACGCACCAGGCGTGGCTTGTTTACACACGCCACCATTTATTTCAGGGGTCTTTTTTGGCTTGCAATGATTTTCCAGCTGATGGGATTAAACCGTTGAGCGCCAGCGTCTGTTCACACCGATTAGGACAGCATGAAGAACTAAGAAAGACACAAACAAACAAAGCAGCTCATGCTCGACTTGTCTTGCGTCCAGCCAACGGACCACGCAGTAGATGACGAGAATCGTAAAATCACCCGCCGCTTCCTTTGATGCTTCTGAAGAGTGATAGATTGAACAGAAATGTGTGTTTTTGTGTACTCACCCTGCTAAGACCCATGTGATAGCTGCTCTTCTCCAATTCCAATGACTCCAGAAGCTCCTCTACTGCCTGCAACGACACACACACACCGTCATGTCTAGTTCACAAAGTGTAGATTACAAAATGACCCCTGTGTAGGCCTAGGACACACTCTCACTGGATCTACAGTCCCCAAACTGTCCAGGCGAGCATCAGCCCTCGCCGTGACACTGACACTGTCTCTCTCATGCGGAAAGGTCTTGAGAACTCGCTCTATCTGAAAGGGCTCATCTAGATTACAGCACTAAAGGGGGCTCCGGCCCCTGACAACTAAAGGGCCATTGTTTGAATTGGTTCACAAAAAAGTGTCCTCTGAGACACGGTTCTACCTCCCTCTGTCTCGTTGTGTCTCTCTAAATCTCCAATTTTGCATCGTTTCTAGTTTCTAGTTTCTCTGGGACTGAAACACCACTGACCTTCTCTGTTGTGTTACAAAAAGAGTTGGGAAAAAGGTGTAAGGTGTCTAAAACATGAGTTTTAGCTATACCTGTCAATTTACCAAAAAATGTAATGTTTCAGACTGGGCTTTAACTTATGGAAGCTCGTTTCCGCCACAGAATGAAAAATAAAAAAGGAAATTGCTACTTTTTATCTGACAATTGCGAGTTTACATCTTGCAGTTCTGAATTTATTTTTCAGAATTGCGAGATATAAAGTCCGAATTGTGTGATATAAAGACGCAATTGCATGTTAGAAAGTCAGAATTGCGAGATATAAAGTCAGAATTGTGAGATATAAAGTCAGAATTGTGAGATATAAAGTCAGAATTGTGATATAAAGTCAGAATTGTGAGATATAAAGTCAGAATTGCGTGGTAAAAAGTCGCAATTGCGAGATATAAAGTCAGAATTGTGAGATATAAAGTCAGAATTGTGAGATATAAAGTCAGAATTGTGATATAAAGTCAGAATTGTGAGATATAAAGTCAGAATTGCGAGAAATAAAGTCAAAATTGTGTGGTAAAAAGTCGCAATTGCGAGATATAAAGTCAGAATTGTGAGATATAAAGTCAGAATTGCGAGAAATAAAGTCAGAATTGTGTGGTAAAAAGTCGCAATTGCGAGATATAAAGTCAGAATTGTGAGATATAAAGTCAGAATTGTGAGATATAAAGTCAGAATTGTGAGAAATAAAGTCAGAATTGCGAGATATAAAGTCGCAATTGCGAGATATAAAGTCAGAATTGCGTGAAATAAAAGTCAGAATTGTGAGATATAAAGTCAGAATTGCGAGAAATAAAAGTCAGAATTGTGAGATATAAAGTCAGAATTGTGAGATATAAAGTCAGAATTGTGATATAAAGTCAGAATTGTGAGATATAAAGTCAGAATTGCGAGAAATAAAGTCAGAATTGTGAGAAATAAAGTCAGAATTGCGAGATATAAAGTCGCAATTGCGAGATATAAAGTCAGAATTGTGATATAAAGTCAGAATTGTGAGATATAAAGTCAGAATTGCGAGAAATAAAGTCAGAATTGTGTGGTAAAAAGTCGCAATTGCGAGATATAAAGTCAGAATTGTGAGATATAAAGTCAGAATTGTGAGAAATAAAGTCAGAATTGCGAGATATAAAGTCGCAATTGCGAGATATAAAGTCAGAATTGCGTGAAATAAAAGTCAGAATTGTGAGATATAAAGTCAGAATTGCGAGATATTAAGTCAGAATTGCGAGATATGAAGTCAGAATTGCGAGATATAAAGTCAGAATTGCGAGATATAAAGTCAGAATTGATTGATATAAAGCCGAAATTGCGTGTTGTAAAGTGAGAATTGTGAGATTCTATTCAGAGATAAAAAAGTTAGTCTTTTTTCCCTTAGAATTGGCCTAATAACTCGCTATTACCAGTTTACATCTCACAATTCTGAGAAAAGATGTCAGAATTTCGAGATATAAACTCGCAATTATGAGATAAAAAGTCTCAATTCTGTCTTTTTTTTCTTGCAATTGCAACTTTATTTCTCAGAATTCTGACTTCACATCTCGCAATTGTGAGATAAAAAGTCACAATTTTTTTAAATATTTTTTTTTATTCAGTGGCAGAAACAAGCTTCCATATTAACTTTATTTTGCACCAAAAAAAAAGTAGTCCCATTGACAATTTGATTATTTACAACACAGGTTTGTACCAAGAACACATGCATATTTCTGCCTCAGAGTAAAAAAAAAAAACGTTAAATCTCACAGTCTGACTTTATATTTCACAATCTCACAATTGCGTTTCTCTTAATATACAGTGTTATACTGTATCACACAATTGCAACATCATTTCTTGACAATTTGATGTTATATCCCATTTGAAATATGTATATTGCAATTCATTGTACGACTTTATTTGTAGATTTCTAGGTTTCAATAGTTGAATATTCATGTTACTTGCATCAGTGAGATTCACATTGTCATTTTTAAAATATGCATTATGCTGGATTTACTAATGAAGTTTCCATTCAACTCATGAATATTTTTTTTTTACTCTACAAAGCCCATGTGTATTTGCATTTGGCGAATGTTAATTTTGGACCCTGTCTGCCATTTACATGCCCAGAGCCACAGTGCAAAGTTTTTTGTATAAAACTCTCCTTCCCCCCGGCTAATCACAGGACCAGAAAGAGATTAGGAGGCCCCTGGATGGAGACATTTTTCTAGCTGATAATTACAGTACATTTGGGCTTTAAGTAAGCACTAAAGCCCAGTGCAATTACTACATTTTTCCTGTCTGCTCTGCGTATTGATTCAAGTCAGCGACCCAGCTGGGGTTTCTTGATTAAGCTGTCACAATAACCCTGATTACCCAGAGTTCATTTCGGTCTCAGACTCAAGAAACACTAGCGAGAGGAGCCCAAAACTTCATTTCGGTCTTTTGTAAAGCTTTTGTACTATTCTTTCCATGCTCATTATTTTCTTAAATTTCCACTCACTCGCTTCTCATCCTTCACGATGTAGTTGCGGCCCAGTTTCTTGGTCAAGTGAGGGGCCAAAATGTCAAAGCGTCTTCTGAACTCAGAGAAGACCATGTGGTCAGGGTAACCTGCACAAAGCAAGCGGATATTCAGCAGGAAATAACACATTTGATTAGATCTTTCAATCTCTTTTCTCACCTTGTCTGTAAATCCTCAAACCGTCCAGCAGTTTGAAGCCACGGATCTGCGCCCTGAGCAAAGCCACGTCCATTTGCATGAGTCCAGTGTCGCAACTCTCCTCGGGGGATCCTGCGGCCCTCAGAACTTCTGCTCGGGGTAACAGACAGTGGACAAAGTGAACCCTGGATCTGCGAACGGTGTCCAACAGTGCATCCTGAACGAAAGAGATAACATAATGAGTAGTATCAGCCATTTCTTCCAATTAACCGATTATTTCACTTTTGAAAAAGCTTTTGCTGATAATTTACTCACCCCCATGTCATCCAAGATGTCCATGTCTTTCTTTCTTCAGTCAAAAAGAAATAAGGGTTTTTGATGAAAACATTCCAGGATTTTTCTCCATATAATGGACTTCAATGGGAACCAAACGGTTCAAGGTCCAAAAGACAGTTTCAGTGCAAACTGTTTAAAGGGCTTTAAACGATTCCCGACGATGAGTAAGGGTCTTATCAAGCGAAACGATCGCTCATTTAAATAAAGTATAACAAAGTTTAAGTTTTATAAGCTCAAATGCTCGCCTTGCTCTGTTCTGCGACGCACATTCGTGACTCTCCTGTCATCAAAATGAACAAATCTTTTTTCGTGTCATTTGGTTCATTCAACGAACGATTCGGAAAAAGATTCGTTCATTTTGATGAACGAGTTCGAACAGGAGAGTCACGAACGTGCGTCACAGAACAGAGCAAGGCGAGCATTTGAGCTTATAAAACTTAAACTTTGTTATTATTTTTTTTTATTTAAATGAGCGATCGTTTCGCTTGATAAGACCCTTATTCACTGTCTGGAATCGTTTAAAGCCCTTTGAACAGTTTGCACTGAAACACTCTTTTCGACCTTAAACCGTTTGGTCCCCATTGAAGTCCATTATATGGAGAAAATCCTGGAATGTATTCATCAAAAACCTTAATTTCTTTTCGACTGAAGGAAGAAAGACATGGACATCTTGGATGACATGGGGGTGAGTAAATTATCAGCAAAAGTTTTTTAAAAAGTGAACTACTCCTTTAATGGGGAATTTTAGCAATTCCACAACGTTTTTAGGAGAAACATCCAATCCAACAACTACTATTCAGTGTAGGATCCTCTTAAAAACTCACCACTTGGAGTTTAATCTGAAGGCAGAGCGATTTCTTCTTGACCGCTGCCATGCCTGTGGTGAAGGTCTTCCTCATGCCGGTGGCCCGGCGCAGGGCGAGCTGAGAGACGCCCTCCAGTCCAGCGATGGAGCCCGTCAGAACCCCAGCACTGCTAGAGCGGCCCACAAACATCCCGCTGATGCTCTTTCTGGAGGATTAAAAACGCCCCTTTTATCCTCATTTACAGGTTCATCATTTTGTTTAGGAGGTCTACTAGAACAAGTTTACATTACTAAACAGCGCAAATTTGTGCGAGAGTGCAAAAAGCGCTGATGGGAGTGGAAAGCTCTGCGCTTCATCTACTGACGAGACGACGCACAAATTAAAGAACACAAACGCAGTCGGATCATTTCCATAAGGACCATTTCCACATTGTTTGTGTGGTAAATAATGGCCCAGATACCAGTAAATTGACTAGAGCAAAACTAATTAAATCACCTTCCATGATTAATTTAAGCACTCTCCTCCTATAAATTTTACATCTGAAAGGAAAACTCCAACAAGGTCGTGGAGTCTCTGTTGTGGACTTTTTTTTGTCTTGTCTGTTGCAGACTGTTTACATGGACAAACAACTATATTACACATTATAAAACGTTCAGTTCGAATCCTTCATTCTGATTGGTCAAGAGCTGTGCTTTATTCACGATAAAACACGCCGATGACCGCTGCACCCAATGGTATTATTGATGTTGTTGCTGTTCACGCTCAGGGACTATTTTTTCTAGCGGAAAGAAGGCTTTTAGTGATTTTACTTCAAGAAAGTTGCACTAATACATTGTTTTTTACTTTAATATTGTATGGCAAGTTGGCAACCGTTTTCTAAAAGCAATAAGGTACTCGAGGCAAGTGCTGTATGGTGAATAAGTAACGGCTGGAATAAAAGAAATAATTCACGATACAGCACAGCCTCTCGTACCTTATTGCTTACATAAAGGATTATTATTTATATCAAATATAAAAAAGCATAATAGGTACACTTTAAACAGTGTAATATGTTTTTTGACTAATGGGCTCTATGCACGGCGGTGTTTCCGATGAAGATGTAAGGATGCTCGATAACTTCCGCCGATCGTAGAGTCCAATGCAATACCGAGAATTTATATTGAATTTTATACTCCATGGTTATAGTAAAGAAACGTTAGTCACAAAAACAGATAAAACAGACACCCCTAAATAAACATAACTATATATAAACGTACGTACGTTTCGTTTCAAAGACGGGAGGACAGTAAATTTTGAAGACTCGCGGCCATAATCCCGTTTTCCTCCGCTTTAATCTCCACAACCGGAAATGGACGAGCGTCCTTGCGTCAAATGCGGAACTTATGCGTGCATAAAGCCCATTTACTAAAGTGACAAGTGCATGTGGTTAAAGGCCGGTCTTACTTCTGGGAGTTCTGCAGCAGATTGGCAGCGTTCTGGGGGCTGGGGTTCTGCCTGGCGAGGTTCAGCCAACCACGAGTGTCATATTCCACCCAATCTGTCCCGTAACTGTGGCCGAGCAGGAAGTGATGTGCATTTTCACTTTTAAGCAGCACTGTGCGACCTGCAGAAAAACAATACAGAAATTGGTCCAGGGCAGAATGTAAGTGTGTGATAGAGATGCGCGGTTGGCGGTTACAGCCATAGATATGTATATAAAGTTTCCATCGTCATCACCGGCGGCCATCTTGTCACAGACAAGCTGATGTAAGATGAGTGGTCAGCACGAACACAAATACTTTTATCTCGTTGAAATCTTGACGGATTTACAAACGGGTTGGTTTCTTACAAACGTTATTAACGTGGCTGTAATTAACTGGATGATTATTTATTTATACACTTTTTATTCATAAGTATGCAGTGCCATAACTACATCTCTGACGTTTATAACAAAACAAACCGTTTGAAAATTGAGCAAGTTATGGTCATTTAAATAGTACATGTACCACTAACACAATGTTACGAGTGAGCGAGATGCCTGTGACAAGATGGCCGCCAGATGCAAACGTCAACCTCCATTGGCCAGCAGCGTGGACGACATATCTAGCCTTTATTATGGATATCTATGGTTACAGCCGCAGATACACCGCGGATCGGGCGGATGACGTGACGGAAAAAATTTGGGCAGATGAACCAATCGAATGAAAAATATATGTATGCATTGTTAAATATTGTTTTTTGACTATACCTGCATCCCAAAAAACGTAATAAACGGCACCCCATACAAAAGCTGCATGCCAAAATGTGTTTTCTATTAGGCTACAAAGGAAATATTGTACAGTAGCCTATCAGATAAGGTCAGGTTTGCCAAAGTGCGTTTAATTTAGGCTATTTATTTATTTTTGTCCCCGCGCGCCGATCGGAGACGGCGATATTAATGATATTATATTAATATCATATATGATATTAATACCTGATTAACCAACTGTATTTTTCGGTAACGCTTCCTTTTACAGTCCAGTTACCCATGTAAATACTATGTACTTATTTTAGTAACTAAAATTAATGGGTAATAACTAGTACTAATCTTTAACCTACCCCTGTTCCATGTACTTACCTTATATTTCTAGGTAAGTACACTGTAAGTACTGTACTGTAAAAGGAAGCGTTACCTTTTTTTCTATGTACATTTCTGAAATGCACTTTCTGTAAAGCTGCGTGCTTTGTATTATGAAAAGCGCAATACAAATAGATTTGAATAGACTTTATGCCGTGCGTCACGTGACCAAACCGGAAAACGGGTCTCATCGCAATCCCTGAAATGCTGTAAAACAAAAAAAGCCCTAATTTTTCATAAATACTTATGTAAACTTATTTGCTGAGTCTCTTGGTTGCTTTCTTTTTTATTTATTTATTTTGTTTTATTATTATTTAGTTATTTTTTAATATTGCTATTTTTATTTTTTATTTTACAATGTTGTACTCCATGTTCAATTCATGTTGTAAGATTGTCTGAAGACGGTTGTGATGTAGCTTGTTGTATGTTTGATATAAGATTCAATAAAAAAATAAAAAAAACGTTTATATTGCAGAAATGCGAAGTATGGGTCCCCAGCATACAGAAACTGTCGGATGTTATTTTGCATATGTTGAGCAATTTTCATAATTAGCAATATTAGCTTAATCATCCATTTTGACCAGGTATTTTGCACTCTATGGCCAATTTATACAATATGTGAGTGGTTTTGGAGATTTTAGAGAATGCTAATTTCATTTCTGGCACTATCAGACTCCAAAATGGTAATTCTATAACATATTTGGATACATTTAGACACATTTATTATTAATTTCGGACAATTTTGTTTCAAATTTCAAATTTTAGGTGTCGCGGCTGTAATCAGCAGCGCCTTGTATCGCCCAATCAGTGGATGGCAGGCGGGTGTGGTTTTGAAAATCGGTCAAAAACGTTGGTGTGGATGGATGGATGGCGGACGGATGAGTTTTGTGACGCGGATGAAATAATAGCCATGTTTGTGTGTGTGACCTGCGCTCTCTCCCTCCGCAGGGCCGTAGTAACTGAAGAGTCGTTGCAGGAGCGTTTCCTCGGACCCTCCCGGCTGTAAAACCTCCTCCTCCATCAGCCAAAACAGACCTCTGGCCTCATCCGTACGGGACAGAGTACGTACCTGAAACACACACAGTCAAATAACCACAATCGTAGAAATCATACACACACTTTCCCTTCAGATCTCTCACACTGAGCTCTTCTTGACTTGTACTTATAAACTGACTGGCCTAACAGTGCCTTTTAAAATAAGATTTAACATTTCCAGTTTCAATCTTCAACATCTAAGTGTTTTTGATTAAACACAAATGCAGAGATGGGAGTTACATTAAATAATTATTATCTAGAGAGCTTTTTTTTCACACAAACTTTAAACATTAGCTGAATTAGTGGCCATAGCCGTTGGTTCGTTCAGGAAGTGTGTCTCACCAGGGCTTGACTGGAGGACTGATCAATCACAGCCAATGAGCGAGAAGGGCTGGGCTCCAGGTCATCCAGAGAGATCTCAATGTTTTCCTTTGGAAACACAGACACAGTTCATTTGTTTGGATGGACCTTGACTCATAATGCTTAGCTTCAATTAAATGACTTTAATCAACTGCAAATAATTGCACATGCCAATGTTTGTGGTGAAAAATTAAAATAATAAGACGAGATGGAAGATGAATAAAACATTGAATAGAAATTACAAAAAGTGGCCTGAGAAATAAATATACACTTGTGTTCAAAAAGGATACATTCAAAGGTGACAGTAAAGACATTTACAATGTCACAAAACAAAGAATTCTGGATAAAAAGGATTCAACAAAAATATTATTCAGCACTGTTTTCAACATTGATAATAATTAGTTTCTTGAGCAGCAAATCATCATATTAGAATGATTTCTGAAGGATCATGTGACACTGAAGACTGGAGTAATGATGCTGAAAATTCAGCGTTGATCACAGGAATAAATTACATTTTAAAATATATAAAAATAGAAAACAGCTATTTTAAATTCTAAAAATATTTCTCAATTTTACATTTTTTCTGTATTTTAGATTAAAAAAAAATAAAGTCCTGTTGTGCATAAAAAAACATTAAAATATCTTACTGACCCAAACTTTTGAACAGTTGTGCATCTGAGATAGACTTGTTAATCGATTGTGATTAATTGTTCGTTTTTAAGCTATCTCACGTTAATACCGGTAGTAGTTTAAAGTTTTCAAAAAGGCACTCAACATTTTATTGCATTATTTTTCATAATTATTTTATTAAAACTGTCAGAGTAGTAGTGCGTTGCTCCACTGACCCATCTAATACAGGCAAATGGCAAATAATAATAATAATGTACAGCCATATAAATGTAGAGCTTTTATAAGAAGTCGAGTGTCGTGAGATTTTGACTAGTCATTTTTCCGCACCTCTTTGTAACGCTCCAGTTCCCTTACGAATGTCCGCTCCTGAAAAAGCATCTGTAGACGTTCCTGAGCGTAATTATGGCAGAGCTCCTCGAAGGTGGCGCCGCGCTGGTTCTTCACCTGACGAGGGTTCTGGAACCCTGGAGTGTCCACAATCAGCAGAGAACACAGAGAGTGCTGACTGGACTTCAGTGCTCTGCAAGGAGAAACACACGTCTGAATGCATCTCTTACGCTGCTAAATAAGTTCATATTACGCTAGCTAATCACTGAATACCTGTTAATAAGAGAGACGATGAGTGTGAAAAGCTCAGAGTATAAACCTGACGCCATGGACTCCAAACACTCAGCTGCTGTTGCTTTAGACACTGAAACACACACCAAAACTCTTTTAACCCTCGCACTTTGTAACACATCATTTCCTCGAGAGTCATAATGACCCGAAGCCCTAAAATTATACTTACAATTTTTTTTTTATGTCCAGAAAGCTTATTTAATTTTGATATTTTTTTTCTATTTTTTAATGCACATTTTTTGGGGAGATTTTGTCATTTTTTATTTTATTTACATTTAAATTACTAGATTTGATCAATAAATAATAAATAAATATATTTAAGCACATTCGTTGAAACTTGAATGAAAGAAAACTCACAATTTCATGCATAACCCTTTTAATTCAGCTCAAAATATCTTACATTGGGTGTCTTTCCTGACCGAAAAAAATAATAATATAACATGATATTTCGTGACTCTTGCCAATAGATGGTCTTATATTTAGAGCAAATGAGCTGTTCCAGTGGGTCCTCAAGTCAGTTTCTCTCCAGTATGCATTCAGATACAAATGTAAACGTCATAAAATATTTTGTTAGGTAAGGTTTTAGCAATATAAGTTAGAATTTGGAGCATTTTTTAGGTTTTTCTATGTGTACTGAAGCCTACCCGCGAGTGAAGGATGTCTTTCAACCACAAAACTCGTTCAAATTCTTTGTGTGTATTCGTGGTTCAAGTGCGACCTAGTCAATTTTTAAATGCGAGTTTCGGGTCAAAATCACCCAAGGGAAAGGATGAGGGTTAAACATAAAATAGGTTATCATTTATGACATATTTAATCGTCAAACCGTATTCACTTTATAGCCCTTAATCCTGTAATCGTGGACAAATGTGGGCACAGAGGACTCAGGTGTGATCCTCATTTTTATTTATTATAAATGTTATATCACTGTCTTCGATAAAGTTTTGTCTATCCATTTATGGTGGGTTTTTTTATTTTTGGGGGTATTTTTGAATTTATTTACTTCAAAATGTACCATATTTTCTATGTAAATTATGCTTATTTTTATGTTTTATTTTTTAAAATTTTTTAACTACATTAAAATATCATTCCAATAAGTTCTTAGAGCTAAAACCTAAAGATGAAGTGACTTTGCTGTCACCTGGTGTCTTATTTTGGCTTATTTTAGAATGCTCTAAATTACAGTTTTCCCCATTCATTTCTATGGGTGCCCATTTTTGATCCAAATACATACAAGATTAAGATTAAAATTTGTGTGTTCAGGAGGCAAACTTAGGAAAAGCAGCCAAGACGTGTAGCGCTCAGATCAAGGGAAGTATTTTAAAAAAAATAAATCAAAACTATTTTTCCCACATTTGTCCAGAATACGGTTTTAGGGTTAAGAATATTAACAAACAGAAGATACCCGAGCTGTCCGTATCATCCGTGCTCTGCCGGACGCTGACGGAGCGGGGCAGGGTGCTCTTTCCCTGCTGTTTAAAGATGGCGGACGACAACTCTTCCAGCGTGCAGCCCAGGAGATACGCCGCTTTTTGTGCCCACTCGTGTCTGGCAAACTGCTTTCGGCCCGCTAAAGGGTCAGAAAGAAAAACAGTGTTACCACAAAACATCCGTCACATTATGTGAAATAGAATAGATGTTCCAGCTACTGTGAAAGCTCTTTGGTCAAACGTCCAGAGAACAAGGAGAAACTTTCATCTCCTGGATTGATGATCAAAGAGAACAAACATTTTTATTCTGGCGTTGGACATCAGAGAGCAGACACGAGCACACATATGGCCACAGCTAAATAAATCAAATAAAAAAATAATAAAACCACCTGCCTTCAGTCTAAAACAGAAACAGGGAGAGACTTGCATTTACCTGCATCTGTTTCTGTGTTATGATGGGGGCAGCATGCAACATCAATATGCAACACAAAAACACATGATTACAACGAATAAAACACAAACAAATGAAAGCGTATTAAACACTGATGGTAACTTTTAGACATCAAGCGACGCGCATACACGTGTGACTGAGAAGTGAAAAGACTCTACTGACTCTTAGTGGACAGATGTTAAAATACACTCACACTGTAAAAAATATTTTCAAGATTTGTTATCACAACATATTTTCTTTAGTCAAATCAACTTTATAATAAATTATTTAGTTGAGATAACTTATTATTTTGAGTTTTTTTGATGATTAAATTTAATCTCCTTCTTTGAATTAACTCACTTTTTCCAGTTCAATTAACTTAAACTTTTAAGGCAACCCAGGTTACTTACTTTTTTAAGTTAAACCAACAATATTTTTTTTTCAGTGTAGTAATCACAACATTTTTTCTTTTGTCAAATCAACTTTAATAATTTATTTAGTTCAGATAACATATAATTTTGAATTTCTGATGATTAAATCATTCTCCTTCATTGTATTAACTCACTTTTTCCAGTTCAATGAACTTAAATTTTTTTAAAATTAAACCATAAATTTTTTTTTATTATTTACTCAGATATTAGTGTGGTATAGACACTGGAGAAGCTGGTAGCTTTACCTATGGTGGCCCCAGCGGCACCGAGATGGTATATGGCCCCTAAAATGAGCCACACAGTTTTCTGTTCTTCAGCAGAGATGCCCAGGACTTTCATGGCAGCCTGCAGCTTAGTGAACTGCTGAGTGGCTTTCTGCTTGTCCTCGGGCTACAGAAAAGATGAGACGATACAATATGTGCAGATAAAAGAGATCAAATGTGTGTCTATCTCTGCCTTATGTGTGGCATTTCTTACCTTCGAGTGAGGGAGGAGCCCAAACGTGTTGTTCTCAGCAAAGTGATTGAAATGAAGTTCAGTCCTGAAAGGCATGACGATCGACTTTAAAGGGATAGTTCACTTTGAAATTAATTTTTGGTATGTTTTATCTTACCTCAAGGGCATCCAAGGTGTAGGTGTCTTTGTTTCCACTACAGTAGTTTCAATTTTGATATTTTTAGGTCAAACCGTCCTTGTCTGTCAGTCATATAATGGAGGTCTATGGTCACCACCTCAAAGAGCATGCACAGAGAAGTCCAAATTAAACATGATTTAATGATTCGTAAATGTAAGTACACATTGATGGCCTAAGACACGAAACGAGTGATTTGTGTGAGAGAACACGAACAGTATTTATATCGTTTTACCTCTTGTAACCACAGCCACGTCCAAGTGGTGTTGGGTAAAAACGATATAAATACTGTTGGTTTTCTCACACAAACCGCTCGTTTCGTGTCTTAGGCCATCAATGTGTACTTACATTTACGAGTCATTAAATCATGTTTAATTTGGACTTCTCTGTGCATGCTCTTTGAGGTGGTGACCATAGACCTCCATTATATGACTGATAGACAACGGTTTGAGTTAAAAACATCAAAATACTGTGGAAACAAAGACACCTACATCTTGGATGCCCTTGAGGTACGCTAAAACACACCAAAATATTTTTATAATAGTCTCTCACTCACTTTAGAGATGCATCTGCTCCGGCCATCAGATAGTAAAACACATTGAAGCTGGATTCTGCTTCTGGTCGCCTGGTCACTCTGAACTTTTCCAGCAACATGGTCTGTATGGGAGACATCCAGCAGAGCAAATCAAAGATAAATCCCCCAGTGAAATGATGAATAATCGCCCTCGCTGTAGCCTACCTGGACGGATGCAGAGGCCACCTGTCCTGCCTGGTCGAAGTCTAGAGAGACGATGTGTGAGAAGCGACTGGCGTTCCCATTCATAGCTGTACTGCAGTTTCCAAACGCCTCGAGAACCGAATAGACCGCCTGCCATTTCTCAGCTGTGGGGAGGGAACAGTTCATGATGCTCCATAAAAACCATAGAATTTATCTGGATTAATTTCCCTCTATAACAGCGACTGGTATGAGCTGCGACTGGTGTTTTTAGGAAGGCCAGTGAGGAGTCCATAACAATAATGCTGGTGATGAAAGCATGCCTTGACTGGAAACATAGCATCTAATTCTTGCAATATTTTGTCAGATGATCGTATGCTGATTTAGTTCGGACTCTAGAGACACAGTTGTTAGACCCCTAGCATTCACCTTGAGAACTTCATCTTTGTTTCCAAACGCAAAGACTTCAGTTTTGTCTTTGTTTGACTGAAGAAAGTTTTGGCACATCCAACTGTTAATTTCATCAATGCATTGGCACAGGGTTGTAGTCGTTAGTCGATAGGGCTAATAGAGCTGTGTGTCGTCTGCATAGCTGTGGTAAGAGATGCGTTATTATTTGGCTCATTGGGAGCATATACATGTTGAACAGGAGTGGTGCAACAATTGAGCCGTGCATTGCGCAAGTCTCTGAGTTTTTGCAGAACTACGCCCCCTCTGGCGTCAAGCGAAACTGCAACCAGGTGTGCACGCTCATGGACACACACACGCGAGCTGTTCATAACCAAAGGAGCATCAAATCTTTTTTCACTCTTAGAAGAAAAGGTTCTATATAGAACCTCAGCGCTACGTATTTGGAACCCCTAAAAGGTTCTATACACTCTTAAAAAAGGGTTTCTCTGGGTTCTATATAGAACCCTGGGGTTCCATACTTGGCCAATAGAACCTTTTACCCAAAAAATGGTTCTATATAGAACCATTTTGGAGTTCCATATATGAAGCGGGGGATGGAACCATTTCTCGTTCTAAATAGAACCATTTCTTCGAAGAGTGTACAGTCATAATGCCTTCAGAAAGTTATAAATATGCAAGTCATTTTAAATATATGAAAGGAAAGGCGTTTGAGTAAATTACACACTTGTGTGTGTCTGAGAGGGGAAAACGGGGTAGTAGAAAACTTCAGTTTTTCCACGTTGAACTGTTTTATGTGCTCACTGTATCCACGTATGATTGTATTATCATGGAAACACGTTCATGAACAATATAAGTTATTACTTTGATCTCGTTTGAGCTGTAAAGCCGACCGGAGATCTCTAAATTTGTCGAAAGCTTCCCCAAGTCGACTCTCGTCTTATTCCGAAAGTTTTATTTTCTTCGTCTGGGTTTGGAATGATCTCTTTGAATCCATCTTCTACTTTTGTGGAAATTTGACTAAAGTTGTGTCGCTCGAGTTGTCTTCGCTGATACGGAGAATGGCGGCGAATACACAAACGTGCCAGACATCGACATGTTAGCGTGAACACGAACGCGCATGACATCTCAAATCCGTCCCGAATCCCTCTTATTTATGTCACTGTACATGATTATAGAGGCGATCGCAGTGATCAGAGAAGGCTCGTTCAGCCCATCAGGCAATCGTTAGAAACCGGGTATTTTTAACATGAAATGTTGCGCAATGCACCTTTAATTAAAATACAAAAATTACTACAACTAAAAAAAAAATTTTTTTTTTTTAAATAAACATTTGTGTTCTGTGGCGGAAACAAGCTTCCAAAAGTTTAAGGCTTTAAAGAACAAGAAAAAAAGCGGTCCATGCTGCTTCATATTTTACAGTAGTGTACAACAAGGCAACAGTGTTCTTTGAGGTCCTCATTTCGTTCCTCACCCGAGTACACCTTTCCACTGCCGGCTGCGATGGTGACCAGGTACTGCAGCAGATGCTGGCAGCTGGTGGTCTTCCCGCTGCCGCTCCTGCCCAGCAGTGCGATGGTCTGATCCTGACGTGTCGTCAGCAGCTGATGATATGCCGACTGAGCGACAGCAAAGATGTGAGGGGCTGTTTCCTCCCTCCGGCAGCCCTTAAACATCTGCATCACCTGATATAAAGAGATCATGTCACTCCATCTCTTTTGAACATAACTCTGAGGGGACTATGGCTTTTTGTGGAGTTCGTACCTTCTCTGAGTACATGGCGGGGGTGCTGAGAGGATTGATCACCAGCAGATTTGACCCAGCATAGCTGTGGATGAGGTTTCCACCATAGCGCTGACGCAAGGTGTGGAGGATGCTGGACTCATTGAGGTACAGAAGAGACGAGAGATCCTCCACTCGATCATATGATAGAGGATTCGCCTGATGAGAGACAGATAGATAGATAGATAGATAGATAGATAGATAGATAGATAGATA